TTCAGTGGGGTCAAGGCATCAACTCTGGTCCATTCGTGAAAATGCAGGCTGTCGTCTCTTATAATCTCCTCCCCGCGCCGGTCCGCCTCTGAAGCTATGTGATCTGTGGGCACTCCCTTCCATTCCACCTTGCCTATCCTCCCACCATCTGCACCCCCAAGCCAGTTTGAGCCAAAGTCCTTGATTTTTTGCCTGATGTCAGTTCGTTTATGAAGGAGTTTAATTCGTGCCTTTGTGTCGTTCCATTTTGCAGTTATTTCTATCTGAATTTGTTGCTGCACACTCTCGGTGAACTCCGGGCCCTTCAGGCGCGCCCCCTCCATTTCGAAAGTACAGCGTCGCCGCCAGAGTGCCCAGAGAATAGCCCGCCGCCCCAGCCTAAGCATATTCTTTGTGAAGTTGTCCGCTTGCTCTGTAAGGCCCTTGGGCCAGGTTTCACACAACAGGGCCTTCAAATCCCAGGGCCATTGAACCTTTGTCTCCAATTGATCCCACACTCGATCCCACCATCTCCATAGCCAGAGTGCACCCGGACGTTGAAGGAATATGTGTTTGATTGTTTCAGGCCTTTTACGGGACGGGAATGCATTTATGCAGAGTTTACACCACGGAAGCGCCCTCCCCTGTTGTTCCAGGGATGTTTTATCAATGAGCCAATTGTTAGTCGGAAGGCAGCGGTGCTCGATCTGCCATTGGAGCGAGGCCAGTTTGGCGGGTTTTTCCTTAGCCAGTTTAAACCACCGAATCGGTCGCAGGTCATGTTTGCTGATGTTGAGATGGTTTTTCCACCGTTCCTCTACTTGGTCCCGCAGAGCGACCTTCGGTCGCAGGAGCCTGTAGGCAGACTTAACAGTCAAGGCATATAAGGATTTCGTAAATTTTTTGCCTTGCGGGCCTTGGGTTGACCAGGACCACTCCGCCGGGTGCAGGGCAAGGTGTTGCAGGGGGGTTCCGGGCGAGTAAGCGATCCATTGCTCTTTCTCATGTAGTACCCGGATTCTGTAGACCTCTGCTATACGGTAGGATCGAGGAGTCGCGTCAGGCTCTTTTTGAATGACATTGTCCAGCTCCAATGGGAAAAGTTGTACCTCTACTGTTCCATCCCGGGGGCCGCGGGTTACCCTGCCCACACAGCTTTGTTGGTCATTGATTGCTACCCAGTCCGATTCCTGCAAGGAGGGGCCTCTGTGGAGAGTTCTCCACCATGCCAGCGGAATCATCTCAATTAGTCTCTCCATAGCACCATACGGTCGGTGGCAGTACCGTAGTTTCTGTCGGAGTTGGTCAGGTCCAATCTAGTCCTTCTTATCCGTATCCCAAATATCCTTAACCCTCATTATCCCTTTCTTGATCCAGCTCCTCCAGGGGGAATCCGTGCACAGAAGCATGCGGTCCGTCAAGTCTACCACCCATCTGTTTCCAAAGAGAGGTTGACGCGCTACCTCTTCCCATCTGTCTGGCCCTGTTTTGTCCAGGGGGGGCAGGCTCCTCCATGTCCTTAAAAGGTCGGGCCAAAAGGGGTCGCGTTGGAGGTCAGCTCTGGCTTCTTGCCTGGGAGAGACGGGATGGGGATCCCGCATGGCCCTCTCGTGCGAGGGATAGGCCATTCTCTGTTCTCCAACCACATCAACGGGTCGGTCTCGTCTGGCGTCTATGGTGCCAGCCGCGATATCTGCTCTAGTACTAGCCCTCTCCAAGGGGTCTCGGGACTGAAGAAAAGGCGCTTGAGTCATTGCAGGGCCAATGCTTTGGTTTGCAGTAGGGGGTCGATGATGCCCAGGCCTCCGTGGTTTT